TAATAATAAAGTCGAAACGCAACCCGGAACTCAGCACTACCTATGAACAATAAAAAAAAAACAGCACCATCAGCACTACCTATCAACAATAAAATAAGTATCATCACCACCACCCGAGCTTCGCCCCAATCAACATCATTCACCACGTGGAGATGTGGTCCTTTTTGTTTGCTCTTCCTCTCCCTGCTCTGCACCGATTCGGAAACCCAGTGCTACTGGTAGCTTCGTCGTACTAGGGACCGGTACAATGCGCCGGCACTGCGGCACCAGGTGCTCCGTCGTCTCGTCGGTCTGCCGGCAGTGTGTGCACGTCCTCTCCTGTCCCTGCGTGAACCTGGCTCTCCACACCCGGGTCCATAATGTACCCATGCGGGCCTCTGCGAGGAGTCGACTGTCCATTTATCCATCCATCCATCCAACACTGTTCGATTTGTTGTCCGCCTCACGTGGTCTGACTAACCTCTCACATCGTGCTGACGGCGGGGAAAACACGGGGAACACTCTGCCATCTTGATTGTTTACCTTCGTTCGTGTGCGGCGCGGAATCGCTGGAAATGCGACTCCATGAAGTGCTAGTGCTTTCGATGGGCCGGAAATTGCCAAGGGACGACATCAAGCAGTGACTGTGATTAGAAAACTTGACACGGGGAGTATTTTCCACCCTTCATTTTCTGAAAATGTTTTTCACTCGCTGACAAAGCAGATAGCCCTAACCGAGGGAAGTGAGATCGCTGGTATATGTTCGGGATTTACGTCACCCGGTATAAACTATTTCTGTCCGGGTCTTTATTTCCATGACATTCCTACTTCTACTGTAAAATTGAGTAAGCACCGGCAGTCCCCCAAAGCGTCTTTTGTAACGTGGAGTTGAGCTAAACTGACAGCATTTCAAAACTGCGACACCGATACGATCGGCCTTCATAACAATAGATGGAATAAAATTTTTTAACGCTGTCTGTTTGCCTACCGCCTGCTATGTGATCGCTTCATCCCCCAAAACGTCCTGGGTATTTTTGAAACAAATCAGGTGTCTGGTAGCGGCTGTTTCGAAGTTCCAAGCATAAACAATCGTGATCAAAGTAATCGCTTTAATGCTTCGATTTTTGTTTTACATTTTTTTTCTGGATTATTTTTATTATACTTTATTAGCGGGTGAGTAGGCATGCCATTTTATTTTACAAGCAGTAATGTGAGCTCGTCTCTCGGCGGCTCTAATTTCAACCTCAGTCTGAATGTTTACAATCCTAGCTGTGACCAATTCGGCATTTGTTTTCCGTAATTACGTAGTGAAAACATTAATAAAAAAACTTTAGATGTATGCCAGCCTTAATTATTGTTAAATAACGTTTTACAAGCCTTTATTTGAGTACGACGTTATTTATAGGGAAGTAGCTATCCATCGAAGCTATCTGTGTTGTCGTGTTGCCGGCCCAAAATTCGCTCAGCCGGCTATCAGGGCAACACACGTTGTCCAACGCAAGTTGCTGTTTTTGTTGCCGAAAGCTGTCATACCGAGGCAACATTTTAGTTGTCGTCCATGTTGTGCCGCTCTTGCCGCGATGTGACAGGTTTGTCGAACAACACGGGGAGCGAGCAACAAGTTGCCCGACTGTTGGACAACGTGTTGTGTTGTTGTTGCCATCGTGTTGCCTCAGTGTGACAAGGCCTTTAGAAGTTTCAGTGCCGACGACAGTTTAGAAACGGAGGAAATTGCACTTTTTCTTGTTTTGCCCATATGTTAGCTGGTGTCAAGTGATTGCTGCCGATGGTACCTCTCGGCCCAACCAAGAGAAGCCTCTATCCCGCGATCCAGCCTACTAGAACATGGATCAGTGGCGCCGCCATTGTGTCGTCCAGTCCCCTGCACGTCGCTATATTGAGAATGACGTGTGCATGTATTTCCTGTGATCTGTGCAACATTATTTCTTTTTTTCGATCAACGTATTTGTAGCTTTTTGGAGGCCACAGAAGTGGGGTTCATATTCTTTACTATTTTTTATAGCAGCAGCGCCGCTGCCTGTCGGCGCCGCCGTGCGTCACCGCCGTCCGGATAGTCGATGTCTCAACGCGAGGGGGCCACGTTGGCCTCCGCTTTGGTGCCCTTTTACCGGCGTTATAGTCAGGTAACAGCACTGGATCTCGTCACGCGCGCGTGCATTTGCCGGATTTTTTGCGCTTTCGTTGTCTGCTCGTCGTTGGGTTATTCCATTTCGGCTCCCATCTTCCGCATGAATCAGCGTACAAAACGCACTCACTGCCTACACGGCAGGTGTCGACGATGACCTGATGATTAGCGTGAATGGTATCATCCTTGACTGCTCGTTGATCTTGCGACGTCGCCGCGCTTTGAAGGCAAGGTGGCGCAGGTTCTGGTTCCGGCCGAGTTAGAGCTACCGATTCACCGATGGACAGGCCAGTGCTTTGCGGCCTCGGCTGCGCGCCAGAGACGAAGGCTACTTTAGAGAATGAGTGATAGAACTTGTGGCGACAATGTTCACCATTTATACTGTCGCACAGTTTCAGAGCACAACCTTTGGAAAAGGCATTGGGGGAAATAGGGGTTGCAAACGAAATCACGCTAGGCTCCTTTGCAACGTGAAAGACTCGCGACGAAGCGGCTTGCGCGTTGCCATGACATCAAAACGTTGCTATCTACGCCACCTCCCATTGCATCCTTCCTTCTGCGGCAAGAAACGGCGAGCCCTCAGACGGGCGCGGGCCGGTTGTTCAGACGGCGCCGGTCGGCAGGCCGCTGAGGGTGAGAACTGGTTCCGGACGGCAGCCCGCGGCAACCGACGGCGCTCGGCAAGCCTCCTCGACGCTAGTGTGGCCGGGCCTTCAGGTGAACCACGACTTTGAATATATATGGTATGCATCAGTTTAAACGGCACGTGACCGTCGAAAGAGAATAAGCGCGCCTGAAGCCGGCCAATTCTCGACCGGTGGTTTTTGGGCGGGAAGAATACGAATTTCGAGCCGCCAATTGTGTTGTGGGCAGTTCGGCCCTTGGTGGTCATATTAAAATAAAAACCTCGGCGAGCATAAATGCCCTGTCAGTGTCTCTTCGAGATGGGCAGGACGTGACGTGATCTGTTCCCGCTTCATGATTCACCGCGTTCTTATCGACTAATGTCACAGTCTCATTGGCGGCAGAGCGATAATCTGACGCACGGGACTCGTCACACCCAGCATTTCTTGAGCTGTTTGTGGGTGTACGATTTCCTTGGGCCACTTTATAGTCACTGTCACTCTAAGAAACGAAGGGAATCCTATTATCGCTCTGCTACCCAAAAAAGTCCGGCGTGAGCCGATGAGGACGCCGAAGGACGCATCCGAAGCTGGAAGCGTGAACGCAATAAGCCCTGCGTTTCTTAACGTGTCGGCGACTGTAGGGAGGAAGAAAAGACAGACATCGAAGATTGGGCGTTATTAGCAGACGTGTACATCACTGCACGTTACCGAAATAAAGTGACTGAACACAGTTGCTCGTTACTCGATAAAAAAGCAACTACTATATGGAGAGGTTATGAGTTCGGGGTAATCTCATCCGACCCCTTTCCACTTTAGCAAAGCGATGGCTAGAGAGAAGGTGACCTCCTCTCCAGCGCTCGCTCTGCTAAGGTGGAAAAAGGTGGAAGGAGCTTCCACTTTACCCTTAACTTGTCACCGACTAGAACTACATTACTCCTTATTGCGATTCTAAAGGAACGCGTTGCGTCAGCTTGAAGGTAACGCGCACTTTTCTCGTTAGCCTGGATGTGTCATTTTTATGAAGCAGAAGGGAGATCGGTGGCCGAGTGGGATAGCATACACCGGATTGACGCTCGTGGAGCGAAAGCTTGCGCTGCAGAATCCAGGGATGCTGGGTTTAATTCCCACCCCGGCGCGTTTCGATCTGGATGAATATTCTACCGGCGTGCAGTCGTGTATCGCTACTGCGTGGTGCACGTTAAAGACCCCAGGCTAGCGCTTGTACTGCACTGGCTAAGCTGTTCATCTACAGCAGAGGGACAAGTCACCATTTGAAACAGACTAACTCCAGGCTGTATAAACATCACGCACCCCCTATATGAAGCAGTGTTGCCGCTTTTAGCATTTTTCGTTGTCAGTATTTCCTTGATCTTTAATCCGCTTATTCAGGGATAACTGTAGCTATACTCGGATACCTTGTGCGCATCCATTTATTGTCTATCTAATTTTCTCCACCTGCAAGTTACAGGCACGAGCTGGAAGGAAAGTTGGGTTGGGTGCTCTCGTTGTTCACGTTCATCTCCAAAAGTAACTAAAGACCGTTACTCGTTACTTCATCAAAAGGTAACGTTACGCGTTCCTTCTATCAATAAGTAACAATATGTCGTTCCTGCTTTACCAAACAAAGTAAATGGGTACATGCAATGCGTTTTATATAGGTCTGGACAGAAGCGCCGAAGGATAGGGACAAAGTGAAGGAAGTAACGACTCTTTCACTTTGTCCCTGTCCTTCGGCGCTTCTATCCAATCATAAACCAATTGGATCAACTCAACATTTTGCTGCATATAGGCCTGGTTATAAGTAGAAACTAAAAATTTGAAGAGTACACTTAAGACTGCTTACGTGTAGGAAGTCGAAAGCCATTCAAGGACGACGTCAAAAACGACGTGTAGTACGGCTTCAAAGACGACGTCTAGGACGACTTCTAGGACGACGTCTTTGACGACGTCTTTGACGACTTCTAGGACGACCTAAAGCACGACGTCTAGGATGACGTCGAGAACGACGCCTAGAGGTGACGTCTAGGAATTCAATTTGATTCCTCTTAAATCGGCCTGTCATCGTTCTTGATTTCATTGCCTCTAATTCGCCTGATTAGTCACGTAAAGATTTCGGTACCTCTCGTGCCGCCGACGTGTTTTCACTCAAGTACTTTGAAGGTCGGCTGAGCGATGACACAAATAAGGCTTTCGCCTTAATAAATTAGCCAATGAATAAGTGAGTGAGTTCGTATGGTGGGCGCACTTACATGTTGCTCTCTGCCATCGTCTTGAATGACGACAAAATCTTCGGCTAGGACGACGCTTTTCTCCAAGGTCAGTACAAGTCCGTCTTCGATACGCAGAATTTTTTCTCCGTTGAGGCCCCTCGCGTCGAGAAGCTTGGGATATACGACACGCTCCAGAAGGGATACTTTGAACTTGTCTAAAACAACACCGGGAGTAAATGTTATCAAAGATTCAGAACAAATTCTGTTGAGCGCATGAATTGTATTTACACTTATATTTATAGAAACATAGGCAAGCGGTAGCTGTCTTCTCTGATTTCATTTGGGGCAGTTTTTCATTTAGATATAATAGAAGTAGTTAAGAATTTGAAGCATTCCCACCCGCCGTTTATAATTGACGGGAAAAACCTAAACGTCACTCTGACATGAAATGCTATGCACCAGCGAAATTAACGCGTCAAAGCAGAAGAAACAAACGAATTGTGTTGTTTTTCCGAGCTTCTTCTATTTTTTTTTGTCATTCTGATTGATGTGTATATTCCTCCCTCCTAGAGACACTCAATGAGCTACGTTTCAATGTAATGCCATTTCGGCCATCATATGGTGCTTAAACTAATCGTTGCTGCCAGCTATTCCATGCTTTATCTGAAATCCAAGAAGACGCTTTTTAGAGCGGTTGACTTTCTTAGGATCTTCGGGCGACCTTCTGGTATTTCTGGCCGTCTATTTTTTCTGCTAAATTTAGCGGGGAAAATGACGTAACATGACTTGATGTCCCGTGACCTCAACACCAATCGAGTCTCCCGCTAAATTTAGCGAAGAAATTGACGTCACATGACCATGTCACGTGACCTACACACAAATTCAGTTTCCCCGCTAAATTTAGCGGGAAAAAGTACTTCACACGATGTCCTGTGAGTCCCACACAAATCCAGTTTCCCCGCTAGATTTAGCGAAAAAATTGCCGTCGCATGATTTTAGCACCAATTTCGTTTCCTCCTAAATTTAGCGGGAAAAATGACGTCACACAATTTAATATTACGTGACGGCAACATCAATTCAGTTTTAACGCTAAATCTAGCTGAGAAAATGGCGTCACATAACTTGATGTCACGTGACCCACACAAATTGAATCTACCCGCTAAATTTAGTCGGAAAATCGACACGTGACTTGACGCGGCTCTTTCAGTTATATCTGCAGCTAATCGCTTAATTAGGAACATAGTTCGCTCTGGCAGAATCTTCATCCTCCAGAAATGTTAATGCAGTCCTCGAAAGAGCGACGCTATATCGCCTGAGCTTCTTGACGCCGTCGCTAAAGCTCGGGAAGGCGCATTTTCGGATCGTGAGTATCATCCATTGCGTCCTCGTCGTAGTTTCACACCTAGCACCAAAAACGCGTCACTCACAGCGTAATCGGCATAAGGAGCTGGTACCCAAGGCTTAAAGTGTTTCTTGACTGCACTCCCGTCATATGATTGACCGCCCGAACCAAGCCTTATAGGGTTGTGCTTCGAAAGATCTCAGAAGGTCGAAATTAATCCTCTGTCTTCCGTTGGGGCGTGTCACATACCCAAGCTTCGTTAGTTTGGCCCGAAAAAACAAACAAAAAACAACACCGAATTTGACTTTGAGATGACATATAAAACAACCACTTACCACCAAATGAAGTTTCTAGTATAATAGCAAGCAGGAGTACTCTGTAATAATGCATGTCGTTTTTCACTGATTTAGCACGCTAGGCTCATGCTAGATATTCTGGTTTCCGGATACCCGTGCGGCCAGCTATTCTTTCGAATGATTCAGTCTGCCGTCAGCCTTTATTTTTAACGCCCGTATTGGGCGTTCATGTTTCTCGAGAAAGGTCAACCCATCCAATAAAAACAATGGCGCGATCCAGGATCTGTAAACATCGCGTCCACGTTTTTCTTTGATGTGTTGACCTTTCGCGAGAAACATCAAGGAACAATAGAAAAGAGCAAGCTTATTCCTTCACGGCCATATAGATGCCGTACAGAAGTGCATCAGCTGTTGCAAGCTTTGGAAGCCCTGCACAGTGGTGGATACATGGGTAACTAGAAAACCTTATGCTCTGACAATGGTAACATTTCGTGTTTATTGTCATATTCTGTATAAAATCTGGAAACAAGTAAATAAATAAAAAAATAAAAACTCAGCGAAATCTTTGTTATACAGCCCCAATAAATAAAGCACGGATTGCACAACGCGGAAACGCCATGAGAGTACGACGTTAAAGGGCAACTCCGGCCAAAATTCAAAATGAAATAAAACTGGTATCGCTGTAGGGACACAAAATACGACCCCAGCCAAAATATTACGTCCGGGGGACTACACATTCTCAACTAATGCCGATAATAAAAATGTGACCCGCCGCGAGCCGCTGCTCCTTAGCGGGCGGCCAGCGGGTTGCCGATCGCTAAGGCAACATTGGGCCGTGACGTCAGTATCGTTCTCTTTTTTTTCCTCCGGTCCGGGCGTTGCGCGGAGTGTGCTTCTTTGAGCCGCTATTACCGCTACTTCGGCTTGTGATTGGCGTGTTTAGCCGTTGCTTTTATCTGTAGCCCGTGTAACTTCGGTATAGCCTTTCGTTTATTTGCCTTGTGAGTACACCAAGACTCGTCTTACGAGCAACTCGGTGCGCCCAAGACTACCTAGCTGTTACTCGAAAGATGCCGAGTACAACTTGTACCGCTGTGGGCTGCTCAGACAGCCCGCTGCTCAACCCGGAGGTGCTTTTTCACAAGTTTCCAACTGACCGGAAATCGCTGACGGTGTGGGTGAACGCTGTTCGACGAGTGGACATTGGACTTCAACTTTTACGCGCTCGAGGAAAAAAAATAACGAAAGAACGGACGTGTACAGCCCAGCACAGGTGTGTTCGGGCGCCGCGGCCCACGCCGGAGAGCCTCAAAGCTTCGTATCTGGGTCTGACCCGCAGCGCGAAAGCGAGATGGCTCCCAGTATTGTACGTCACTGGCAGCGCGGCGTAGATCAACGCCGCTCCATCCACGGAGCCCCGATGACAATTTAGGCCTAGCGATGAGTACGGAAGACCGCACGCACGGCGACAGCCACCGAGTACGGCACGGAACGAGTTCACTCGTTTTCCAGTCGCTAGCTTTTGGGTATACAAGCGACGAGTACGGCATAGCGCACGCACGGCGGCGGCCGCCGAGTACGGCACCGAACGAGTTACCGTGTTCTCCAGTCGCTAGCTTTTGGGTATACGCACTAACTCTTGCTACATATGCTGGATAACTACCACGTATACAGAATCAAAACAAAATCAGCTTACCTCCTATCTTTAGACGGCTAGCGCAACAGAGGTAGGTGCCCTTCGGCCCCCGTACTCGTTGAACGAGAACGATCTTGACGTCACGTTTACACAGCGGGTGATTTCCAGTGTTGCCGGGGCCTCGAGCGGCTAGTTTCAGTTTTGTTGCCCGCGCCCCAAACAAAACTTTGAGGCGCCGATATCTTTAAAACTATGCACAATAACGAGAAAAAAATTACACCTTGCTATTCAGGGACGCTGACTGCGCTAAAAACAGTCATAATCCCAAAATCGAAAGTATGTACCGGAGTTGCCGTTTAGCAGCGGGGATAAGTAGCGAAAGTTCAAGATCACGGCATTACCTGGATCAAGAGATAACTTTGAAACGCGAGATTTCTCTATGAACCGGCGTCTACTTTGATCTAATATTCGAAAAGCCAAGGAACGGCATTGTGGGCGCCAGTGACATTTCTTTCATGAAAAAATGCAAGACGATGTTATTTATGTTGTTGCTGAAAAGACTTTCTTGTCACTGAAACAAATCCTACACTGACGCCCACGCTATTATTGCCGTCTTATTTTTTAGTTTATATTAATGTCGTGGCTTCGAATCTGCCTTCTGTGCATGTTAAACTTTCCGGGTCGACTGTATGCTTTACAGTTTATCTGTCGAGCGAGTCCAAAACAAGTTTATTTCTATCTTGAAATATTGTTACCTTGAGAAATGTGATCCTTGTTTGAACGTTGGATGTAACTCGCAACTCGTCAACTTGTTGAGCCTACAGCAGCGTCGGGTGGAGGCAGATATGTTGTTTTTGTTTAAGACCCTGCACGGCTCGATTAACTCTCCCAACCTTCTGTCCAAAGTGAGTCTTAAATTATCACGTGTGCCTACACGGCTTCAATCATCTTTGTATATGGCACGACATTTTAGCCACTTGAACCCGATCCAATGATCGGCTGAGTGTTATAACTGCTACTCTGACACATTTGATACTTTTAACTCATGCGGAAGCAAGTTCGGAAATGCTGTTTGAAACTTCCTCTTGCAAGAAAAGGGCTGATCATTTGAAGCGTTGCTATTTGTCAGTAGGATATCCAAGTATTTGCTTTTTGCTCTCACACCTGGTGATGTCTCTGGTTTGTGCTTTTGATTTCCCTTGTTGATCAGAGTGCCTTTCATACTTGTTAATATTTTTATTCTCAGACTGGTGAATTACGTTCTCCTTCTGCACTCGTGTTCGTGTGTATGTGTGTTTTCGCTCATTTTTAATGTGCCAGCACTAAGATCGATTGGTTGTTCCTGGACACTTTAATAAACATTGATTGATTGATCATTATTATTATTATAAATCAATTATTATAAATTATTATTGAATCGATCCAAACAACTTGACGTCATATTCCTAGATCTTCCTAAAGCTTTTGATAGAGTATCACCATAGTAAACTTCTCCTTAAGGCTGCGGTCCCACGGCAGCCATCTTGAACAAGGCGTTAGTTCAACCAATAGATGGCGACACGCACCCGTGGGGTGGCCGAAACATTGGTTCACAGTGGGATGGCTCGAGCACCATCACGTTCCCCTCGTGGCCTTGCTCGCGCCGCAGCCAGCTGTGCTCAGGTAGCTCAAGTAGCGTGGCCCATCAAACGGATGAATGCGATAATGTCAGGCTGGGTATAAATTGTTGTCTGATATAGGGAGATGCGGTCGGCGGTTGTAACGTGCTTTCGCAATAAATCTTACCAAGAAGGAATCAAATGTTGATTGACGTGTCAATATTCTATCAATGAAAATTTCCTCTGCAGGAATGCACGCTCAGTAGACTCAACCAGTGGAAGCGGACGTCGAGTAAACTGCTTCGCGATTTACGGTACTTACCTCACCATTTTAATGACGACTAAAATAACATCACGAAATATTGTGTTTCACGGGGTCCGGAAGATGTTGTAAAGGTTGTTACATTATAGTTCCCGGAAAACAAACGCCGTTGCAATATTTTCGGAAGTACCGACACACATTATGTTGTAAGTACAGCTTAGGGAAACCATCAGAAGAAATAGGAAGACGTTTATTTGCAATGAAGACGCTATGAATGAACGGCGTATAGCGACGGCAAGTTATGAGCGTTCGGGAATTTATAAGTTGACGTGATTGCTAACCATGGACATGCGGACAATGAAGACCAGTTTTGTCGGGAGATGGTGTTGTGGTGATGACCGGATATCGGACGACTCATGGCAGACGAACAAGCAAGTTTCTTCTCAGCGATTGGTAAGTGTCCAGTTTCAAGCACAACACGTGGCTACCGACGTTGTCGACGTTTCGAACACTTACCGCTTTCGACAAAAGTCCTGGCACCTGGGCTAACTTTGTGGAAAGACTCGAACAGTAACTTAAAACGATCCACTATTCAGTCGGTGGGTGGCGAAACGTATCCACATCTGCGGAGTCATGTACGATGCGTACTCTAAGTGGCCGGAAGTTTACACGATGTCTGCCACGACGTCCAAACACGTCATTGACCTTCTACGGTCTCTTTTACCTACTTTTGCCCTACCGAAAATACTTTTTTTCTGATAACGCGCCAAATCTTGCTGCAAATAAAATAAACAAGTTTTTGAAGAAAAGAAAAAACAGCATCAGGCATCACATTAGTGCACCATACCATCCTGCAACTAACGGGCAAGCAGAACAGGTGGTGTGCGAAACGAAAAAAAAAAACCCTTTTGAAGCTTACGGAAGAAGCAGTTCAGTGAAGAATCGCCAGGTTCTTGTTCCGGCAGCACGCGTCGGTCTCATCTTACACGGAAAAAAAACCGCCGAAGCAATATTCGGCGGAAGAATAGCCACACCCCTCGATCTCATGATACTATCGCTTACGAACAAAGATCGAGAGATACCCACATCGGGAGTAATGGCAGTTTATTCGGTCGGACAACTCGCCTACGTGAGGAATTTCAGCGGAAGTCTGGCCTTCCATGTAAAACTTGAGTAGAAAAGGCTCTATGTTGGTTGACCAGGAGGTGTCATCTCTCTGAATAGGTTGGATATCAATGCCCTTAAGTGTAAATATAACTAAATCACAAACCTTTCTTTGTGTATTGTGTAACTGCCCTTGTATTTGATAGTAGAAGCTACGGTGGTGATCTGGACCTTTCACACCATGCTCCTTTTTCTTATTTTTCGCCTCATACTCCTTTGTGGTTTAAGTACGCTTCAAGAATCTTTCGGAACGGGGACACTTTACGTCAACGAGGCCATTTGTTCCAAGTAGTCAATCAGGGAATGCTGCTAGAAATCCGTCCCTCATATTAACGAATAAGCCGCACTTCTGCACAGTGCAGTTTTCCTGTTCCACGTACAGTTGTAAAGCAAGATCCTCATTGATTCTACCATATACTGTTGCGGGTGAAGAA